TATATAAGCAATGCAGTATACGATTACAATTGCTTATAGGTCCTAAATCATAGCTCAAAAGACGAATATACGTTGAGGGTTTGTAAGCATTTCGACAGGTAAACCACGTGGCCTGTTTTGTGTGGTAATTAATTGAAAGTATTTGCTTTAAGGAAGACTATTATGGTGTTTTAATTAAGCTTATTTATAAGTGACTTCGTTTAACACTCCGAACACGATTCCTCCGGTAAAATGTGTAACGGCAAATTGGAAATGTTTGAAAAATCATTGCTCTGTAGTTTATCGATAGATTTCAAAATCTATTGATACCGAATAAATCTTTATGCAGTTTCAGGTGGCGGCAATAGTTTAGAAATTCGTCAGTAAATGGTTGAGCTATGATTTTTCAGAAGTAAAAAGTGAGGTTACGCGATGCCACCTCTGTTTACCCTACTTATAGCTGAGAGAGCAGGTTTCCTGATAGTTGTTCTAAGATAGCCCGATTCGAGTCTTATCAAAGGTAATTTTCATAAATATCATCGCTGATTGATTTTCATGAACATCCAGTAGAAATATTAAAATTGGATGGAAACAATATTTGCAAATAATAAAAAAAATAAGAATAATACCTTTTTACCCTTCTTACAAAGAAGAGTTTACATATAGCTCAGAAAATCGACTTTTGATCCAAAATCTTCCATCTACCAACTAACACATTGTTCTGATACGACCCTGAGGAAACATATTGGAACTATCGAAATCCGAAAGCTCCATTATGTGCTGACATGAAGAAATCCCGGAAGAAAGTTTGGCTACGATTCATATTGCCATTTTTTTAATTCCACTTGCACGAGTCGACAACAACAAACAGAATTTAAACTTTTCTTCTTACAGTACAGCAAGAGCGAGAGCGGTAGTCACGTCAGCGATCTGATCTGTCAATATACTGTAGCATTAAGCAACCTACGTGGCGCTAATGAGCAAGTGATTCCTAACGTATTTTAGTTTGAAAATTTACACAACATTTTCGAAGAAATCTGTTCTTGATTGAACATATATCTGTGGTACAAAATGACCCCCCACTATTGAATATGTTTGATATCTGTCACTGGCTCCGGAGTACATGTTTTGGTGTGTACGTGTTTTGAAGCTAGAAGAAACCTGAATCTTGCCAAACACATCACATTAGAATTCGAAAACAATATCGAGTGCCCAGGACCACATTGAATTCAAATCAAAGCTAGTCATGTCAAGTATTCATCAAGACCCCATTGAACACATCCGGACATATCACCCTGGCCCTGGGTAGTTTTCAGTTTCTAACATGGTCCAATACCCATCATACGATATTTAATCACTATGAATAAGACCTTTTTTTCAAAAAATCCTTTAGTAGATCCCACGTTTGTAATTTCTAGCATTTAAATAATAAATCATTCTAGTTCAGCCCTTCAGTCGTGTAAGTACGTCCCCCGAAGGCCCAAAGTAATAACTTATATACTGCGCGACATTTTGGATTGATTCGAATATGTATATTAATAAACTGATTTTTTATCAGAACATATCCCAGGATGGTCCATTTACCGAAATGCAATTCTCCGGATGATATAGTTTTCTGGAAAACCGTTTGCTGACAAGGGAATAATTCATTATTTATGTAGTTTAATAATGAAGTGCTCATTTCTTATTTTACTACAGAAGAGAATATATATTTATTGAATACTTTCATGAAAAAGAGAATGTTTCAATCTTTGCTTATTTTAATTTAAATAATAAATAATAAATGGAACTCGGGTGAATGGCTCATTCGGAGAACATTTTTTTTCCTCTGATTTGTTCTCCGTACTGAGCACCAATGCTACCGACGTCAGGGAGGTAGCTCCCACACCTGGACCCTATAGTCGCTATATTCATAGTCTGGCGGATAGAATCTCGGGAACCAATTGAGCTGTCAAATAGCGGAACCAATCGAGCAAATCACGACCACCAATAGAAAAGAGCACATCATCTATTGGGAACAAAACTTCGGAAACGCTTTTCTCGTGACTCAAGATTCGCCTACGCAAATTAATACCATCTTTGGATTGGGGAAAGTCTCCCCTATCCGATGATGCTGGTAATATGCGTTCTATTGGTGAGGAAAGAATAATCAACGTTTTGTTTATAAAGTTGATAGTATCTTTTCAATTGTTGGTCTACAATATATTGAATTGGTTCCGCTTTTTGATAAATCGAAATTCTATCCGCCAGACTATGAATATAGCGACTATACTGGACCCTACCTATCGACCCATCAATTCATAGACCGAGGCTTTACTTCCCTTCCGATTCGGAGAAAAGTATAATATCATACGACGGGATAAAGGTAGAGAGAAAACAGAAAAGGCAATAAAAGAAACCATCAAGCTTAAACCATGAGTATCCCTGCAGAAGAACGAGTAGAATCCAAAGGTTATGCGACCTACAATGCAGAGACTGCCCATCAATACGTTAAGCTGTTTGATTGGGCAGAAGGATGTCTGCGTCAAGGCCTTAGGCAATCAGTCCCTACAGTTGCGGGAGACAGACTTATCAAGTTTGAGTTCTTTGTCTGCCAAAAAAGTTCACAGGCTGGCGCAGAAATCATTGGAAGAACCAGAGCAGATGAAAATGCGATTATTCGTGTAGCTGACTATGAGCCTGTGGATGTCACCAGGATTGATATTCAAGAAGTTAGGAAGTACATCTCCTACAATATGTATGGACTTTTGAACAGGGCCAGCAAGCTCTTTATCATTCCTGACGAGCCAGCCCCGAAGTTGTGGCTGAGCACTATGTTCCTGTAGAGAAGGTTCTGATTTACTCAGCTTCAGTAACGAAGAATCTGTTAGTTCAATGGGCACCTAGGCAAGACTTAGCGAAATACCGGTATAGTGTCTCGGCTGGGGGTCCAATTGTTAATATGCTAGCACTTCCAACTCCGTTGTACCATCTTCCAACTGTCTTGATTTTTACAAGAATTATGTAAACCATTGTGACGATCATGCACAAGTTGTGTCACCTGCAGAAATGCTTGCTCCGATTACAATTTCCAAGCATTTTTTGAGCACCAAACCATCATTGAAGGAGGGACAACAAAGACGTTTGCACTGACCAATGACGAATGGATCTGCATTGGGTTTCTAATCCTGTTTTGCTTTACAAAATCAGGCGAGGTTGTCTATCTCGAATCAGCTTTTCGAAAGAGAATATCAACACTGAAAGCAACTGCAAAACTAAGGGTTAATGTTGATGCAGTAATATCCAAACTTGATATTGCTTCATTTGCACTAATTCAAGAGTATGTTTCCGATTACCCGAAGTTTAAGACAGCTGTTATCCAACAAGTAATGATCCTGTCTTCCTTAGCTCAGTCGGTAAAGGCGCAGCTACAAAGCAAGACCATGCTGGAGGTGGCTGGGTTCAATTCCCGGTCCGGTCTAGGAAATTTTCGGGTTGGAAAATTTCTCGACTTCCCTGGGCATAGAAGTATGATTGGACTTGCCACACAATTATACAAATGCAAAACTGGTACAGGCATCGAAAGCTCTCAATTAATAACTGTGGAAGTGCACCTAGAACACTAAGTTGAGAGCACGCAATAAGCTAATATGCGATATGCAATAAGCTTGAAATGCGAAGAAGAGGAAGAAGTCCTGTCTCCCAAAACGCTTGCTATATTCTTCAAGAGTCGAACTTATCCTCCTTCTTAGCTGTGATTAAGTTTCTAGGAGCTGGGATTGTTACTCAGCTACATTTTGATATTGCAGTCATTCCTGAATATGATATCTTTGACGAAAAGAAGACCCTAGCAAAGTCCAGCATCAAAATGACAGCAAATTGAAATCAAGTTTTGATATCAACATCAAACTGAAATCCTTATTTGATTTCAGTTAATGCAATTGACAAATTTTGTTTTCATTTTGCTGTACATTTGCTCTTCAAAAATATGTTTATGCGGATTTGTTTTCATTGCCTTAGCATAACATCAAATTGAATACTTGTTTTGTTATCAACAGGAAAAATGGATATCAAATTGAGTTTCCAGTTTGCTCTCACTGATAGCAGAAATAGTTTTCAATGTGATGTCACAGGAAGATTTTTTTGCTCTCAATTTTGATATTTTAACCGTTAAAACGACCAACACGACAGCAACCTGAGTAATCATTATTAGCGAAATCACAACATCAAATTTAGATTTCAATTTGATCTCAGACTTTGCTCGGGGAAGAAGCTCATTGACAACTACGCCCCAAACACCTGGATTTATTACAAGCTTATAAATCCTGATGACCAAACTGCTTCCACTGCAGATGTCCCGAACTTAGTTGCTGCTGCTAAAGCATGGTGCACTCTAAACGACCTCCATCATTGAACTTTTTATTTTTCACAAGTTTCCACTTACATACTTTTCTATAAGAAGGTCGAAAATCACAATATGGCTAATTTGACGTTTCTCGCTGTGAAAACTACCGAACTCGGTAATGGAACGGTTTGTTTACCGAAACTGCAGAAAAATATTTCACCGAAGTCAGTGATGAAGCTGATTTACAGATCTGCAGGTAATTTTTTTTTACCGTTTTCGTTGAATTGAAATGAAATCACCGAAATTCGGTAATTTTATTTACAGTTTTCAGCAGTAGAGCAAGAAAATACCGAAACATCTGTAATTTTTAGGATTACCGATCTAAAATGGTAATTTTTTTTTTACCAAAACCCGTTAGAATACAATAAAAAAATCCGATGAATGTATCATTCCGGGAATTGTCATTCCTTAAAATGATTTTACGGGAAGGACCACATTCCAGGAAATTACATCTAACTAATATCTTTGAGATGATAAATAGAGGTAAAATATACTGTTATTGTTGTAGAATACGGCATCATGCAAAGCGTCTTTATGTCAAACGACTGTATGTTAAACGGCATTATGCCAAACGGAGTAGGCCCTGGGAACACTCCGAGAGCAATCTAAATACATCATAAAATAATATTATCGTATCTTGTAACGGCAATAAGTTGGCATCAGCAGTGCTTGTTACGGGCTACTTTATTAGCTATATCCACTGTTATTTTTTTTTTAATTCAGCTTTATATTGGGGCGTAATAGCGCTCGATAACCATTAAATAATTATTTATATGAGAATATAGGGTTGCGTTAAATCGCGTTGAATAGTAAACCATTTGAAATTTTCCATTCCACTCGCCATATATTATTTTTAGAGTATAAGAGCTCTTTATAAATTGTCATAACAATAATCGACAAGAAAATGTCATCAAGATAGCCTTATAACAAGGTATAACGTCATAGTCTGGGCTAGCGTTAAAGATTAAGCACCTTCGATCATTTATGCTATTTCATGTTTCATCGAATTTCTGCGCTAAGAGTGGTCTTCAAAGTATTTTGTTCGCTTGTGAAGAGTTATCTTATAACTCTAATGGAAATTTTTGTCATGATGCTCAAAAAATGGAGTTTTCTGTGCGGGCAAGACCGATTATAGAACAAAAGATCCAATTATCTACACTGTTGGACACTTGAAAATGACTAGGAAAATAATTTTGAAATGGGATTTCTGCATAACATCCGCTTCAATTTGAAGCAACAGTCTTATAATAAATAAAAGTAGGAACTATGTAACCAATAAAAAAACCTTGCTTCGCCAATAACACTCAATGCAAAGATAAGACTGGCTCAGTTTGCTTGCATATACCTACCAACCTACAATAGATTAGCGGCGTTTGTTGATCAAGCCCATCTTTTTCAACTGCCTAAGTGCACACTTGGCGGCGGTGCACTTGGCTATGCGATAATTGCGACCAATACCGCGGAATGTTCCTTTTCCGAATACTTCAACGGTTACTCGAACGCGTCGTCCGTCGGCCAGCTTTTCCGGTTTGCTGTTGGAAGTAAAACACACATTGAAGTGAAAATGTTTAAAGTCTGTGGAAAACAACTCACCCAAACTTGGCCGTTTCTGGTTCCAGCTCTAGGAGCTCTCTAATAGGAGACTTGGGTACAGAGTTGCTAAACTGTTCTATTTCTGGTCCCATCATGTTTCGATATACCTGTGGAAAGTTTAATGCATTCAGAAAAGATAAATGTACCATTCTAAGATAAAAAGCTCACCTTCCACACGGCATCCAGTGACATGTTCGAATCCAAGAAAATAGCTCCCGCTACGGACTCGAAAACATCACCCAAGGCCTTAGGTACTTCAACATCCTCTGCCTCGTCGCATTCGTCCTCGGAGATCAAATAGTACTAAAATGATCCATAGAATGTTGTATTGTTACAAACTAAAAAGTGAGCAATCCTTACCTCCTCACTGATAATGTGCCCATTGTCCTGCTGTATTCGCACAAAACGATCAATGACGTCATTCAAACCGGGTGATAGATGCCTAAAATACTTGTGGAAATCATGTCTCACTGCCAAAGAGGCAAAGATCGTATTGTTGACCAAAGCCGATCGCAAATCTGTTAGTGCTCCGGGAGAATGCTGCCTTGGATCCTCGTAGAGATGTCTAGTGATAAGGTAATCTAGCACAGCATCGCCAAGGAACTCCAACCGCTGATAACAATCCGTCAGTCTATTTGGACAATACGAAGCATGGGTCATGGCTTGAAGCAGATATGACCGATCTATGAATCTATACTCCAACGAGTCTTCGAATGCACTGTACCCGTCCAAGAGATGCTCCAGCGTATCTTTTGGATTGGGTGCATGCGTTAGAAGCGGTGATTTGGGTGGTATCCAATAACCGTACACGGATTGCATCTCGGTCCCGTCTTTTTCGTAGCTCGGAGAACTGCCCGGTACCCTCGTTTGAATAGTGTCGTATAGGACTTCGTACACTGGGAGAACCCTTATACCTAACCAGGCCATCAAAAGAAGCGCACCACGTGGTCCACATTCAATCAGATAAGCACCGATCAGAGCTTCCACACAATCCGCTACAGATTTGTCCGGGATGCTGTGCTGGGTTACGAGATTGTACGGAATGAAGCATGCAAAATAATCGGAGTTTTTGATAAATTCGTCATTCCGTATTTCCAGCTGTTGAATTTCCTTCATCGTTTCACCATCTTCGTCATCTGACTAAAATAAAAATAACAGATGCATTTGCAAAGAAAACATTTATAGATATCAGGTTTGGTTGGTAAAAAAAGGTTTACTTCTGTAAGGAGAGTGATTTTTACTGAATTCGAGTCATATGAGGTCTAAGAATTTAAAATTTAGTGTTGCTTACACATTTTAGTTTGTGTAACGTTTGATTGAACGTAATTTTCCGGAATTAGAGATAAACATTAGGATGAATATTCTGTTATGGATGGATTCTCGTTTCTACCAAAATGCCCTAAGGTATAACGGACTATGGATCGGGAATCGAACCTGCTCTGGAGAAGAACTGTACCAAAAATAGAAACGCACGGATCACGAGCAACCCAGTGGGTGGTTCGATTTCAGTCAGAATTTATCAAGAATTAAAGGAACTCAAAATGCTACTCAGAAGGCGATACTCACGTCGTCCAAAAGTCCAAGAGTCAGTGCGCGTTCCTTTACTAGCCTACAGATTTCTTCGCTCGAAAGCTGTTTGATGTCTGGCAAATCTGCTAAATTCCAGTGGCAAGCGGGTATCTGATTTATAGCATTTTTGAATGATTATTTACTAGCAAACTACGAAAAAGCAAACAATTTTTGTGTTACATACCTTGGCATCGATGAGAGCTTGTTCTAGCTCCTTCGGCACATAATAACAGGGTGGCAACCAATTGTCGTGAGGTTCGAACTTGGTCGCTATCATACTTTCGCCCAGTACTTTCCTCCTACCTAGCCGGTAGAGGTTTAGATTGGATACCTGCTTCGATCGCAGGTGGCTCAGCTTTCCCTCGTGGACATTTTCGTAGGTGCAATACAGGTAGGTGGTTATGGCATATTTTAGGAACGAGTCCCCAATCGTTTCTAATCGTTCTAAATTGATACCGTCGTTGGCATTGGACATTGTGAGAGCTTGTAGGATTATGCTAGGACTTGGGCCAGGGTGATTGTTCAAATCTGGTTGGTAATCGAAACTAAATTCGTCTGGATTATTGTTAACATAACTGAGATTTGTTATTAAGAATGTAAGATCAATTGGTTGTTCCTCGCAGCCGTTTACAATATTTGGAGAATTTTCGCTCTTTGCGAAAGGATTTTCCATGTTCAACACTATTGTTTTTTGGCCATTTTTATGTATTGTTAAAACATGTTCATCATTAAACCTATCAAATACATCACCAGTGCCTAGTACGGTAAAAGTTTCAGGAAAGTACGGCTTATTTAATTCATAAAATCCATCGAGATTCATGTATTTTGCTCCATCATCTGTAGTTTTAACGTAATGATCGACTGATTCCTTTGATGCAAACGGGAATAATTCGTAAATTTCCCGATTACTGGCACATTCCAATTTAGCACCATTGGATTTTCGAAGAACGTTTTCAACTGTAAGCGCTTCATCAAACTTCACTAAGGTTCCACAACTTTTAATCTGCTCTTTAAATTCGTTAGTAGACTGTTTAAACTGCTCCTCATGTAATTTGATATTTCGTTCCAAATCGTTTCCTTTTGTACAATCGAATCCACTACTCACGTTTTTCGAATTCTGGTACAACTGCTCATTGATGTTAGTGCTATTGATTATGTCTCGTTGTTTCTGTCGTTTGAGAATATCATCTTCAGACTCGATCGCTTCGGCAACGTTGTCCGATTTAAATTCGATCTTAAGACCGTAATTGTGGTCGAAATCGCTATCACCACTGCCGGCATCTAAATCGTCATCTGAAACGTATGATCCTTCGGAATCGGTATAATACCGATCTGTCGTTTGGTCCTTGTTTCCGACATCCCACGAAGTCGGTGAACCGTAACGAATGTTTGCTGTAGAGCAGAGATTGTGTTAGTTAATTACTTCATACTTTTGAAAATAACTAAATGTCAAGTATAAAAAGACGCAGCACTTGTATGGTTTAAAGAAATTCTAAGGAATTACGTAGACTCTATAAGGAAAACGCGGAAAGTGTGGTGGTATTCAATTGAATGTAGAAGAAAAGGAAACAAAATGAACAGGGCGGGCAACTACTAATAAGTATTACGTGTTATGGATATAATGGAAGATGCGCTAAATTGACTATAAAATAATACAGTCAGTTTTTCATAGGTAGATATTGAACGAACCGGCAAGATTGGGAAAGATCGAGACATTTAAGTTGTATTCTCTTTTCAAGCGTAAACGACCATTCAACTTATTTTGAAATAGTAATCAATATCTTTACTGGTCTGACAACTCTATTGTGGATCTTCCCAAACAGGTAAGGCTCAAGACAAGCCCTAGGACCTTGCAGCACTCAAGCTTGTCAAAAGGTATTTACAAATTCAATTATGAAACTAAAAGTATGAAGCTGTTATAACTTGAGCTTGGAGCTTAGGTGACCGTACAAGACTTCTAATTGGGCTATGAAAATTCGCTCAAAACTTAACAGGATTTTATTTGATTGTGCTCAAGCATTTCCCTTACAACATTCTCTTAAATCCATTTCCCTCCACAGAGTTCTTTTCAGAATTCTTCTACCGTATATTCGAGATTCTCTCTCGGAATCCCTTGTACATTTCTCATAACAGGCCAGGCATTCTCTGCAGTACACTCAAAAAATTCACGAAATTGATCCTTAGATTATCTTCTAATTTAAAACTTTTTCTAAGAATTCAAGGAAGGTACCTTCAGTTTTTTTAATTCGCTTGAATTCTCCTCAGAATTCCCATGCAATTCACATCAAAATTATCTTGAAGTTATCCTCTAAATTGTTCAGAAAATTCACTTGGATTTATCCTTAACAAATATTTAGAAATTATTTTCGAGATGTCCTTGAATGCCCTTGATTGAACCCACAAACTTCTGCTCAGTAGCTAAAAGGGACGCTTCAATGCCACCGAGCTCCATACATCGCTACAAATAACTACAACTGACGAACTGGATTCAAATGAAATCAAATTGATAATGTGCTGGTATTGGTAGTGTAAATAACCAGAAGAAGAAAAGAAGATGAAGAAAACACACTAAGAATTCTATGTGAGAAGAAACTTCCAAGGAAAATCAGAAGAATAACTCCAAGAAACGTCAGACTAAAATTCTGGGAGTAGCCTGAAGACGCTTTCAGGAGAATACAGAAAAAAGCTTTTGGGGGATGTCTGAAGAATCTTTCAAAGGAAATCGGAAGAAACTTCCGAAGGTAGATAAAAGAAATATATATTATATATTATATATGTTTGTATATCATAAAAACTAACTTTGATATACATGCATTCTGGTTGGCTAGGCATGAATCATGAATACTTTTTTTTTTTCCTTTGATTTGTTTTTTCCGTCGATCTTGTTTTCCGTGCTGAGCACCAATGCTACCGACGTGCCAGGAAGGCAGCTCCCACACCTGGACCCTACCTATCGACCCATCAACTCATGAACCGGGGACCAACGGCTTTACTTCTCTTCCGAAGGAAGGCGTGATCAGAGATGTTATGCCTAGCCTCAGAACATCCCGGCGGCGCCGACTGGGATTGAACCCAGGCCTGCTGGAGTGAGAGGTAATCACGCTTACCACTACCACCACCGGCGCCACTTGAATCCTAACTTTTAACTCAATATGAAATCTGCGCTGCTATATGCTAGTGATATATGGTGCGTATAAGTGGAAAATACTCCAAAGCTGTGCAGGTACTCATCAAACGTAGCCTGCGGTACATAATTTTTGACTGGTGGCATCACAACTAGATCTAGAATGCTGAGCCCTATCGCCAATGTCATCAAAAGCCCATATCAACAGAAATTCGCGAACGTAAACTCAAGTTTCGGTTTAGTTTCTGGATAAAATCAAAGACATCATATGAAAGAAGACTGGCAACGTTGCCAGAGCCCAAGCGACAGGATATTTTATGCGACACTAGCCGTGTTCGAAGAGGCAGATTAGAATATTTTAATCGCCACCAAACTAATTGTTGCTGAAGGAAACTTCGATGTACATTTTTTTTCCTTGATTTGTTTTCCGTCGATCTTGTTTTCGGTGCTGAGCACTGCTACCGACGCCAGGGAGGCAGCTCCCACACCTAGACCCTACCTATCGACCCATCAAACTACTCATGAACCGGGGACCAACGGCTTTACTTCCCTTCCGAAGAAAGGCGTGATCAGAGATGTTATGCCTCAGAACATCCCGGCGACAACGACTGGGATTGAACCCAGGCCTGCTGGGGTGAGAGATAATCACGCTTTCCACTACACCACCGGCGCCGCTAACTTCGATGTACATGATAGTCGATTAATCCGCCACTTTAGAGGCGTGCGGCAGAGTCTATGACATTCCTCCGAAAATTTGGTGTCTTCTGTAATACTTACTTCTATTCCTAGAACACAGGTCTACATTCGGTGGAAGTCCCCAGTTATCCTCTTCTAGCATCATTCCCACCCGTATAGTTTCAGCCATTTCATTTGACCATGTACCGATTTGGAATCCTTCTGCTTTTAATTTTTTATCGGCCTCTTCAAGTAAATCATTTGCCGTTTTTTCATCGTTATCGTTATCCGCTTTAGGGTCATCGCCATTTTTCGCTTTAGGTTCTTCATCATTTTCCGCTATTGGTTCTTTATCTTCTTGTTCCATTTTGTCTTCCTTTGGATCATCAGGAGGTTTTTCGACTTCTTCAGCTTCTTCGGTACATACTTCAATGGCCGTTGGTTGATGTGAGGCATTCAGTTTTGCTTCTCTTGACTTCTTTAGCACATCGGCAAGGCTCCAACCAAAATTCAAAATAGGCCATTCGAATGCTTTATCGGCTATGTTCGTGGTCCCCAAACCGAGGTCGTTAGCTACCTCTTTGCGAATCTCATCGGCTAGCAGTAGGGCATTGATCCTATAGAGAATACATGGCAAACAAACCGCGGCTCTCCACAACGATGCAGGAAATGGATGTATCGTGCACAGTTCTGGTATAAGAATTTGCTTCTGCTCGAGATTTTCACGCTTGGCTCGTTTGGTTTCCTCGGAACTTGTGGGAAGCGCTACGCCCTTACGATTGACGTATCTAAGAATAAAGGTATGTAGAATATAATTAGCAATACATGATTTGAGCAAGTGTGCATGTGTGAATAGTTTACCTTGGTGTTAAAAAATTCAGTCTGGCACTAGTGTGGTCCACATCCAGCAGGGGTTGCTTACAATTTTGTATCAGTATATTGTACTTTTTGAAATAGTATTCTTCAAACGTGCTATAGTTTAATCCGGGGAAGGAGCTTTTCGGAGACAGATGATAGCAAATCTCCGCAACGTAGAAATATTGAGGTTGATCTTGGTTCCGATACCATGGCATAACCACTGCATCTTTGAATTGATTGCTATCGAAAGTATAACTTTTACGGTTTTGATCTGGTACAAAAGTCGGCATTTTATCCACATTTTTGGCAATAACGTCAATGAAATTCCAATCCACCGTAACAACGCTTCCACGTGATATTGTTGGAACGATAAAGAAGCAGTTTTCCATTGCTTCAGGGTCATACAGCATAAGATACTTTTGCAGCCTCAACACTTTGGTGAATGTGTAATTTATAAACATATGAATCTTCTCCAGTTGTTCCTGATTCAATATGGGTCGCTCGCTGCACAGATCCAAAGCCACCTTCACTTCACCCGAGCGAGTGAAAATTGGAAATGCACTAACCTTTGGAATAAGCTTTGTCGTTAGTATGCCAAAACCTTGTGGAGAATCTTCCGGTGGATAGATCTTGCGACCGCGAGTGTTTTGTTCCTCCGGGATGGGACACTGCAGGGTCATATTTATGTGATATAGGAATACTTTTGATCCAATTGTAGGACGACATTCCGAAAAGGCAGATGCAATCTGTGGAGATTAGAATTAAAAAGAGTGTTGTGAGTATATATTATATTTGGAAAGAAATAGTTCCGCATGAAAGTTTTGAAAATTCTAATTGTCTTGCGACTATTATTAAGTACCGTGTAAAATGGGGGGAAGTTGAGCACTTTTAACCGATAAACTAGAATATTTTTCCAACCGTTTGTATGGCACGCAAATTAATACCTCTCAAACTTGAACTAGCAAATGCTTTTTTAATGTATGAATTTGGTTTTTGAACCTACATGTTTAGTTTATTATTTAGCATTAAAATGAGATTCAAATGCAAATTTTTATTTATAGGGTAAAGTTTATCATACAGGTTTTTATACAATGCAATATTCAGAGATTGGCATTTATACTTTATACACGAGTAATCCTTGTAAGCAAGCTTGTTAGTAATTAATTGATGCTTTTATTTTGAATAATGATTTTAATTTTGCGAGACAGAAGGGGGTCTTATGAAGGCCATATCTCAAGTCTCAAGGCTATATTCCAGAACGTGAATTGGTTATCACGCTTTCATTTTGAATAATGATGTTTGAATAAAATTTGCTTTTCAGCTACTTTTGTGCACTTACTCTTTTGTAGTAATACTGTCTCCGTTTTGTTGTTCCTGGTCTTGGTTCCGAGTTTTCATTCACAATCTGTGCATCATTGCTCTCCAGCTCAAAATCCTCCCAGTCAGCTTCGAACGCACGGAAGGACTCCTTTCCGATTGGTTGTAGAGAATTGTCCAATTCTCCAACTTTGTGGAGAACACGACATGCTGTGTAGGCGGCCATGCGTCTTGCCAGGATCTCCGTAGGCATGGGTAGTCCCTAGAAACATACAAAATAAAATATTACAAAGGTTGCTGAGAACTTGCCAGACGAAGCTGTCAAAATGACACGAAAAGGTTTCTAATTTGCAATGGATCTACCAGGTATATCGGAAACTTCTTCTTCGGAATCGATAGCCCGTCTGCTGAGCGCACACAGGGAAGCAATGCAGAAAGTAGCGCGAAAGTGTTTGCCGTATCGGGACCTGGACGAATTTAGCACCAAACTGCAAAAGAACAGCGATCATGCAGCTTCGGAGCTTAGCATTTCCTCCGGAAGTTGCGTAACATTTTATCCGCACAAAATTTACACGATTGAAGAAGTAACCGAAGATTCACGGATTTCCGTTAGAAAAGGTGAACGCATTACATCGAGTGCCGAGGAACTAAAGGAGCGCATTGAACGATTGAAGCGAATATCTACGACGGCAAGGAATTCAAAACGTCCAGAGAGCCGAAGAGGATCTATACCTAGGTAGGTTCTAACCCATGACTGCAGTATTACAGTGATAGCATCAATATTTCAGACCACCATCAGCCGAAATAGCAGCACGAGTTAATTACGAACAGGAGATTGCACAAAAATTTGAAATAATGGATCGTTTTCTGAAGGATCAGATGGAACAGAAGCAAGATTCCATAGACAGTGAGGTGCTCATTCTACGGCACTACAGCCGATCAAATTCAACTCCGGTTAAAAATCGAGCGATTTGGGGTCTCTGTTGTAGTTGCATTTCGGGAGAATAGACTTAGGTGTGGGATTTTGAATTCCTTGTTTAACCCTTTCCCGCCCATCCATGGTGTCTGTAGAGCACCACAAGTTGTAATCCATGTTCTGCCGGTTACCGCAAGTCAGTCTCATCTGTATTTTTTCTTTTAATTTTGAGCTAGCATCATTATTCGGTTTATCTTTCTATGTTTTTTTTTTGAGCTGTGCCATTGAAAAAAAGTGGTTTGTTCAAGAAAAATGAAAAACAATACCAAGTCAAATTGTCCCACAGCGAAAAGTATCCCATTAAGAAAATATATGATTTATCCTGATGAATGTGGGCGTCTTGGAATACCTGTATAATGAGAGAGAGAGAGAGAAGGATTAGTAATTTCCATTTAATTCCACTACCTTATTAGCTTATCCTTGACAGATACGCGTATTTTGTCTACAATGTGCAGACTTCTTCAGTGTCTTGTACAAGTCTGAAGAAGTCTGCACATTGTAGACTAAATACGCGTATCTGTCAAGGATAAGCTAATAAGGTAATGGAATTAAATGGAAATTACTAATCCTTCTCTCTCTCTCATTATATATAATTTAATTAAACTACAGCTATCTTTTAAGCCTGATTATATAGAATTAGCCTTTAGACAACATATTGCATCATGAGATATGGCTCAATATAGATTTTGTCCACTTCTCCTAGGGTATCCGGAATATGGCCGAATGTGGCCAATATAGTTTTTACGACCTTCAATATAACCGCCAATGGGAATGGCTTCGTATTCTCATGTGATTTGATGTGTTGCATGATGAATTTTCTTTTAAAAAAGATTTTACCACTGGTTACCGGGGATACCCGGAACATGTCCGGTTGTGGCCAACATGGTGTCAAGACTGTCACTGATTTTATTTTCGAATTCTCATGTTAATTGATTTAACGCATGGTGGGTTTGGCACGTTCTTGAAAATTTCTGGTCTTGTGGTGTAAGCGGTAAGTGGTAAGCGTGATAACCTCTCACCCCAGCAGGCCTGGGTTCAATCCCAGTCGGCGCCGCCGGGATGTTCTGAGGCATCTGATCGCGCGGAAGGGAAGAAAAACCGTTGGTGTTCGGTTCAAGAGTTGATGAGTTCATTCTATTTTTTTATTTGCAACACTGTGCAATTAATAAACATATAAGGAAGTAATAATCGTTTTATTTTTGACTCCAAAAATAAATAAAAATTAAATTCTTATGAATTTTTTGTCGGGCAATCAACGCCGCATTCAGCATTCATGAAAAAGAACATAGATTTCAATTGCACTGGTTCTAGTAACCCTTCTTTCCACCATTGCAGGGGATGGAACAACTGCCGCAGGAATTTCAATGATCTAAAGTTTTGAAATTGTTATTAAAAGACGAGATTTCTCATATTTTTTAAATAGCTTAATTATACATAAGCGTACTGTGGGGTGCTCAAATTACTCCGTGTGCTCATTATACCCCTTCCACACAATTTTACACGGCAAAGAGAAATAGCAGTTTCCACAGCGTTTTGGGTTTTGGGCGATCCTTCACAGCACAAAGTAGTATTCATCGGAAACAAGCTATAAAAACGATTAGAAATTTGCAAAAACCCGGAGCGTGCCAAACGTACAACGGTATAACCGTTCCCAAAAATAAATGTTCTTAATAAAATTAGCTTTGAGTTCTTTCTACTAGTTCTCTTAATTAGCTTAAACAACTTTCGAAATTCTACTTACCAGGATATCCTCCTTGAGCGGTGAATTGATGGGCATTCGTATCGTGCATTGGTACAGTACATGTCCATTCCGTACGATTTTGGCCCCTCGCCACAGTGGGGTGAGTTTGGTGAATGTGTCGCTCGGCAACTTGGCACAGTACTTGTTGACCATTTGAATGGCATTGGCCAGTCCAACGCTGTTGCTATTTTCATCCGTCTCCGGAAGGGGTCGATATGGTTCTAGGAAGCGATTAAAACAATCGGCATACAGTTGATCGCTCTCCGATGGTTCCATGTTCTCACATTTTCGCAACAGCAGCTAAAATGGAATAATGTTCATGTTAACAATATTAGTGATGTTGACCTGTAAACCTGTTACCTTTTCGATTTCCATGTAGATGGCTATTTTTTCAATCATTTCATTTGTACAATTTGCCATCACCTGCATGCTAGATTTGTGATAAGTTTCAAGCTCATTAAAATTTGGATTTGAGCTGACTACACATACTACTCCATTTTCTACAACACTGGATTCGGTTTCGACTTCCATAGAATCGCTCTGTGCATGATCTTTCTTCTTCTCGAATCTTGTTTTGTCGCATATATAACGATGCATTCTATCACTCAGATCTTCAATTTTACTCGGATGGTTTAGATCTGGAGTAGGTGTAACAAAAAGAATATGATATGCTGAAGCCGCCCGGGCTCGTCCTTTACATTGTACGTACGATCGATAGCTAACCGGTTCGTTCCAGCGTATCACGAGATTACATTTGGGTAAATCGATACCCTCCTCAAGGACCAAAGTTCCGATCAACAGGTTGCATTCGTGCATTCTAAATCGCTTTAGCACTTCCTCTTGTTTTCGATGCTCGATTTCGGCTTCTTTTGGTTCCTTGATTGGATCTGCTGTTTTATCTACTGTGTACTGCACATTGATGTAAGCCAGCTGAGGATCTGATCGAATACTTTCGTAGAACAAACTGTACAAAATTTTGGCAATAAACTTTGAATTGCAGAAAATAAGTGCGCAAAGAGCATCAGGATCGTTTTGATTATAATAATTAGATCTGTGTGGCCGATTTCCTGGTCCAAACTTTTTTCGTTGCCGCATCTGTCGTAAGCCATTCTTTGTCGGCGATCGTAACTTTTTACCCTGCACTGTGGCGTCATGTTCCAATTTATCCGGATCCGAAATCTGTCTGAGTGAGGTTTTCAGGTTTTCTATTCCTTCTGTAATGCTTTCGATGTTTTTGGAAACTACGTCTACATCAGCGATTAATTTCCTGAAATCAATAAGCTTTATTTCCTCCAGTAAGGTTTGACATGATCCTGATTGGCATGTTTCCATCTGCTCCTCTTCTGCAACCGCTTCCATTACTGTGTGATCTTTTTTACCTTGTGCTACTGGGCTAAATAAGTGGAATATTTCCAATATTCGAAGAACTTTGGGTGAGGAATGGGCTTGGATTTTTTCCCTTTCACTTGAATACTGTTGAAATATTTGGTCACAATGCGATCTGATCTGTACGAAAACCGTCGAAACAAGGCAGAGAAGCAGAAAATGCCTCTCGTATGGTGTTTTTATCTTTTGCTTTTCAATTTGAACAATCATCGCCAGAGCTGCCCGATCTGCACACCAGGGACCCATTTCTTCCAATACGGCAAGGAATTCATTGAGGAATTTGAGTGGATCTGTGCGCGGATCCGGAATATTTTTCAGTTCTTCGAGGAATTCGTCATCTTCGTAAATTTCTGATGGATCATACCGATGGTCGGTGAGAAAGGTGATGTGCGTTAGAACTATTTCCTTTAAATAAAGTGCTAAATCGTTGTCCGGTGGTGGTGCGCATTGCAGTATTATTTCCTTGGGTTTGGTGCAATATCTGAAATGCCAATTTAAATCTTTAATTTACTGTTTTCTCTAACGATCATCCCACGCTTACCTTAATACGGTAACAATGTCGCTGGCAGTTTCCGCTTTCGACTTTAGGCACCACTCGAGTTGTTCTAACTCGGCACTCAGCCTGCCTGGAATGCACCCGGCATTATGCAAAGGTCCTGCTAGTCCCAAAATTTTTGGTTTCTCAGTACACAGATTGTAATAGTCGCTAAACAGTTCTGATATCTCGTCATTACCATATACTTTGTGGCAATCGTCGATCACCAGCAGATTGACTTCGTTTAAGTCTAAGTATCCACAGATAAGAGCATCCAAGCATTTCTCTTCATCCGTAATGATTACCTGGTTATCTTCTACTGTCCGTTCCCAGTCTACTTCATCCTCATCATCGTCGCTTACATAAACTACCTTCAGATCTGTAAGATTCTTCATCAAATTGTAAACAGAATCATTATTGGAGATGTAGACTGTGCGTTTCCGGTTGGTGGATTTCCTAAGCTGGAAGCCCAGTTCATGGATCAGCTTCAGTGCAATGAATTCTTTGGAGGAATTATGAGCAAGGCAAAGAATCAAGTTCCGCTCTTTTGCCGAGGCCAGTAGTTCCACCTGATAATCCCTTGGCGTGAGGGCAGTCGTGTGTATGTTGTCGGTCCAGTGATATGCCATCCTCGAAGGACATGCCTTTCTGGCGGCTTAATTTGTTTTGATTAGGGAGCACAATATTCTAGGTGAATTAACCGGTGCATTAAGCTATAAAATTATGATAGAAGAAGGTTCCTGCAACCACTTAACTTTTAGATAAACAGTTAAAATACACCAGGATAACAGAAACTCACAGCGTTTTATTATATTGTTCAATAAATAAACGAGTAAAGTATAAAATGCTAAACGAGTGAAACGAGTGAAACCGACAGCGCGAGTGCGATAAGCGTTTTGTTTACATTTTATCAGACTGTCAAATATAGTAATGGGCGTTCTCGGCCCGATGTTTGTTGAATCGAGCTTCACACTTCTGGATCAACAATAGAAAAGGGCCGATCAGCATTTGTAAACAAACCGTTCCAAAGCCCATTCCTCACAAATCGAAGGCCGTCCACACAAACCAACATCATCACCGTGTAGGTAGAAGTTTCCCCTATCCGATGATGGATTGGTTTGCGTGGGTGGCCTTCGTTTTGTGAGTAAAGGGCTTTGGAACGGTTTGTTTACAAATGCTGATGGGCCTTTTTCTATTGTTGATCCAGACTTTCCGATTCATCTATTTTTTAATGCACGATCGTTCAATGTTTTTCAAAAGTGAGTAACTTCTACTAAGTTTGGTATTTTTGCACAAAATGTCAACATCTGAGTCAAGGCCGTAGCCAGGTTTCGAGCTAGGAGGGGCAAAAAGAAATTTACTATGGAAAATTTGGCCGAATGCCACCGAACGCCATTTCACCCTGCCCCCCTCTGGCTGCGCCTATGATCTGAGTAACATTGGTTCTAAAGCCGACGCACAATGGATACGTTTTCAGGTTTTTAGACAGTTAGCCCATGCATTATCTGTCAAAAAACCCGAAAACGTATGCATTGTGCGCCGGCCTTAAGAGAGGAAGTGACAATACACTAATAAAATTCCACACATTTTTATTGATGAATTTCCATGTTAAATTCCACGTGATTTTCATGTGATCACACATAAACAGAATCCACCCAGAAGAACTCATGAAATTTATGAGTCAAATGAATAATATGTGTGGTTACACATGGCTTTTATGTGTACACATATTAAGTATGTGTCCGACACATAGATATCATTTGTTGATCACATTGAAAAAATTCATGTGTGGGACACATAAAATCAATCTTTGAAATTTTATTAGTGTACCATTGAGGTAACTCTAAGACTAGAAGGCCTGAAAAAACGTGCTCAAATTTTTCTGCTCAGCTCTGGTACTCTCTTCGGTCCCAAGCTAATCGATTCACCCCTCGAAACATAGAAAAATAGACTAACCCCTCATTTTATCTGTCAAACTTTCATAGCAAATCAAAACAAACATTGTGTAGTAGTAGAATTTCGACTAGAATGGGATACGTTAATCGTTTGCTTGGGACCAATAGGCTAGTCAAGTAGTGAGTCAATTTAAAATCGTTAGTTTCGTATTGATTGTTGATAATAACCCTAATAAAAATAACCATAAAGAGAGCTTAACGACGTGTTCGGGGTATCATCCAAACCATTTGTGGGATAGTTTACCCATCCGGGATACTGTTCGTTTATAGTATTTGTTTATTAGGGAATGTAGTAAACCAAACGAGAAAGTATTTTTTATTGCTACTATTTCATCAAATAGTAATCTCGCTTTAAATAGATAGGCCTATTCCGCACGCCACGCAGAATAGGCCTAAAGGCCCACGCACATTAGATCAGGATCGGACGCGTTGCGGCAAAATGACAGCTAAGTCTATTGTGTTACTGTCAAATTTACGTCAACGCAACGCAAACGGATCTAATGTGGGTGGCCCTTAAAAGAGTGTCGAGCGCGTAGATGGAGTCGATATGTCTAATACTTGTGACGGAAGGTTTGACACGTTTGCATCTTTCTAAATTTACATTTCTCAGCTCCCGAGTCAGTGTCGACGACTTGCCAGCTTTGCCTGCCGGTTGTATATCGCAGGCAGTTTCACTTAAAGAGCCTAAATTTATTAATGATGGTAAGCTCCAACCTCGGCTCCAACCGGTATTATCCTCGGATTAAATTCCGATCAAGAATGTCCGGCTGGTTTGATGTCGACATCAGAGTTATTCAACACGATGCTATACAAACGATTCGCAGATCATCCAAACAGGGACGGTATTAAAATTTAATCCGAGTTGGAGCTTACCGATGTCGCCTCTTTATAAACTCAGGTTCTTTAGACTGTGTTCCATTTGGCGAATTTTCACTTAAACTTGACAGATGGAAAATTTTCAAATAAACCTGCTATTCCAGCAGACTTATTTCTGACAGACAAGGAATCAATTTTGACACACACCTTCTCGAAAATCGGCCGATCAACAACAGAGGGATTTTCGAACATTATAATTTAGTTTCGAAGTGTCAAATTTAAGTGAAAATTCACTGGTGTCACTACACGCTATTTCAAAACTACCCAAATTTGGGTAGAATCCACCCAAATCCGTCAAAACTGAACCTACCCAAAAATGGGTAAACTGTGTTGGGAGTGACAAGTTGACAAATGAACAACATTGACATCAATCCGATCGACGTTGTTCATTTGTCAACTTGTCACTCCCAACACAGTTTACCCATTTTTGGGTAGGTTCAGTTTTGACGAATTTGGGTGGATTCTACCCAAATTTGGGTAGTTTTGAAATAGCGTGTAAAGAAGAATACTCGCGTCACTTTTCAAATAGACCAATGTAACATATCCACACTAATAAAATTCCATACCTTTTTATTGACGAATTTCCATGTCAAATTCCACATGATGTGATCACACATAAACAGAATCCACCCAGAAGCACACATGAAATTTATGAGTCAAATGAATAGTATGTGTGGTTACACATGGCTTTTATGTGTACACATATTAAGTATTTGTCCGACACATACACAAATTATCGCTAGTAAAATTGAAAAATCCATTGGTAGAATTAAAAGTTTTCGTTGGTTCTTTTTGGTAGAAACCCGAAAAAAAATAACAGTGAAATTTTCAGTGGAAACAATGCTCTAACATTAATATTTATTGTCGACAATAAAAATGATTGTTATAATGTTGTACTATTCCGAAAACGGCAAAACTGCTACCTAGCTGTACAATGAATGTACATAATAAAATGTTGGCGAGTGCAGGCCTCCATTTCTCACAAGTTCCGGATCGAATCTCAATCCATAACCAGTAAAAAAGGACTCACCCGTAACAGACATACCACCCCCCCCCTTCCCTTCCCGGGGCGATGTTTTATTTTTTCGATTTATTTTTAAAGTCGATAAAGTAGATCTGTCAAGCCAACACATACACTCTAAAGTACACTGTTATTTTTTTTAATCAATAATTTCGCCAACCAACAGTGAAATAACAATAATATATAACGTTATTGAAAAAAAAATATATGGGGAAATCATGAAAATTTCATTGTTAAGATACTTAACAACCCCCCTTTTTTATTGTAAATTTTCCATTTACCATGAAATTTACTGTTTTGTACAACATAAATCAAGGTAAATTTATTGTACACGTAACAATATTAATCATAGTTAAGACAACAATTTTCGTCTTATTGTTACATTGTTTTTTAATGTATTTTTGTTGTTATTTTTTTCGGGAAGTCTTTAGCTTTCAAAACAAAAGTCAGTTAACTGTCAATTCAAAAGTAACTCGTTTTTTACTTTTAAAAGTTAAAACTTTCAAATCGAATTGTAGAACTGTCAATATAAAAACCTATTTTGTTAAATAGACTCACGAAAGAATTTAGCGAATCAAAACAAACATTGCGTAGTACTAGAATTTCGACTAGAATGGGATACGTTAATCGTTTGCTTGGGACCAATAGGCTAATCAAGTAGTGAGCCAATTTAAAATCGTTAGTTTCGTATTGATTGTTGGTATTACCAACAATCAATACGAAGCTAACGATTTTAAATTGGCTCACTGCTTGACTAGCCTATTGGTCCCAAGCAAACGATTAACGTACCCCATTCTAGTCGAAATTCTAGTACTACACTATGTTTGTTTTGATTTGCTATGAAAGTTTGACAGATGAAATGAGGGGTTAGTGGATTTTCCTATATTTCGAGGGGTGAATCGATTAGCTTGGGACCGAAGATAGTACCAGAGCTGAGCCAAAAAGTTGAGTTCGTTTCTTTGGGACCTTCTGGTCTTAGAGTTACCTCTATGGTATTACCATAGAGGTAACTCTAAGACCACTGGGTCCCGAAGAAAATCATTATTATTTTTGGCTCACTCAGTACCAGAACAACGGTCCCAAGCAGTCCCAAGCTATTTCACTCACCCCTGCATGTTCTGCATGAATCCACACACCCCTGATGTTATCTGTCAAACTTTCATAGCGAATCAAAACAAACATAGTGTAGTAATAGAATTTCAACTAGAATAGGGTACGTTAATCGTTTGCTTGGGACCAATAGGCTACTAAAGTGGCGAGCCAATTTAAAATCGTTAGTTTTGTATTGATTGTTGGTATTACGGTCCCTTTCATCCAATGAACAACAAAATTTGTGTCAATAAAATTTCACGCATTTTCAAATGAATTGTGTTATTCGATTTGTTGGAGCGTATCGTTGGAAGGAGATTCTTAAATTCCCGTGGATTTCGCGTAAGTGTCTCTGCTTACGGGTCCGCCCTTCCGTTTTTGGCCCTTCATACAGCGATATTGTGAATTCAGATCGGTAGCTCAAATTGATCTTGCTATTAAGTGGAGCTGCATACAAGACAAGTCTTGAAAGGATGGTGGCTACCTTACATACATACATAAAATTCACGCATTTTCAAATAATAAGTTTCACGAAATTCGCGGTGTCAAGAGCTAAAATATTCGAAATAAAAATTAGTTTTTGAGTTGAAAGTTTTTCCAAAGAAGAATACTAAGGTGAAACAGTCGGAAGAAATACTTTCTATTTTAGGGTCCTCTTTCACGGTCCCTTTCATCCAATGAATACCCCTCGTATGCAAGGTAATTTTGTGGTTATGCTGCCCCTCGGTAGAGTTGCGCTTTTAACAATCACATCAAAATCAGAGATGTCCCATTTTTTAATTACTCGATTAACAACTAATCGATTATTTTTTGTTCCCTGTGCTGTCATTTTTACACCAATGAGAGTGCAGCACATGTTTGAAATGATTGGGTGATGATCCTTTGGAGAAGTTAATGCTTATGCGAGATCTATTTCACTCTACT